AACTTGTGAGATTTTGCCATGGTGTGAGGTTCCTGTCTTGTTCTGGAGTAGCCATGAAGGGTGGGCTCATATCGGTTTTCCAGGGATTTAAAGAAATCACATCTGTTCTGACTTATGTAGTTCATGTTGGAAGTTAAGCTCTTTCTGTAACAAATTTCTCCCCTTTTTTGGTCCACAGCCGTGACAAGATCCACACATGACCAGACTCAACAGTATCAGGAACAGGAATGTCCACTTGGGTTTTCAAAAATTGCTTGAAAATACAATCTATACCAATTAGCAAAGGGCTTGACTTGCAACCCCACAAATTCAGTGCTGTGGGCACACATCTCAGTTCCGGACCCGCTTGGGGTCTCTGTCTTGATGCCCTGCTGGCCACAGTGGGCAAGTGAGTGGCTGCCTCCTTTCCATGCTAGGAATTTCTTGACTTGCTGTTTGTCTTTTGCCAATTTCAAAAACTCCCTTCATCTTAGTCTTCTCCTGAGTGTGTGTGTGTGTGTTGTGGGGGTCACAGAGGAAAAGCTTTAAAAGCAAAAAAAACAAGGAGAATGAGGAAGTTACCAGTGCTCAGTGAACCCTCAAGTGTGAAAGGCTAATCCAGAAACCACTTAGTAATCACCCCCATGAGGTCAGACGGGGTGACATGGCTTCTTACGTATGTGCTGCCTCCTCTACCTCCTGCAGAGGCTCACTTCCTGAGCCCAGGTGACCTTCTGAAATCTACCTCTGTGCTTGGCATCAGGCCCTTTCTGTGCCACAGCCGCCACAAGCTGCTTCTCTGTTACCACCGGCCTGTTTTCAAGACATTGACCTAGAGACAGAAACATGGGTGTAGAGGACTGTGTCATGTCCTAGGGCCCTGACTGTGTGTGCTGCAGAGTGTGAGGGGAAAAAGCCAATTTCCAGGGTATTCTAACGTGAACCTAGAGGCAGGACAGTGCCTGGAACTCAGCTGCACACAATGTTCAGAACAGTGCTCATGGGTCTGTCATGCCCAAGGGAACAGTGTTCAAAGTCATTTATGTCTTAAGATGTTTGGCTGATGGCCAAATAACACATTACTGTTGTTAGGTCTAAATGAAATACCAATTCCACACACTTCAAAAGGCAGTTCAGATATCCAGAGATGAGTTCAACCTGGACTGTAGGAAGATTTCTGGTGGTTAGAGAGAAGCCAGCATTCCTGGAGATCTTATGAAGCCTGGTCCTCTCCACCAAAATGATTCCCTTCCCTTACCTCTGACGAAAGGGACCAATGGCTACCTGTGATGCCTGTTAGTATGCCAAAGTACACGCTGGCCTCCAGGTTCTCTCAGTATGACAAGTACCTGCCATACATTTCAGAGTCCAAGCTCACATCCTGCCCTTATCCCCTCCTCCCCTACCCTAAACTGCCCCCATTCTCCTTATAACCCTGCTAGTTTAGATATGTATTCTCTGTATGTCTCCTCTTCTATCCCCAGCCATCCCATCCTGCTTCTCTCATGCCCAGGCCCAGTCAGTCTGCTGGCCATGTTCAGGCTAAGTCTTTCTTTGCTCTGGACTCTTCCAGATGCCTCTGACTGTTCTGTCTCTCATATCTACAATAACAACCTTCCCTTTACCCATACCATGGAGTGGTACTGAACACACTCAGACACCAAATTCTCAGCACAAAGGAGATTTTATTACCCTGGGGTGGGGGACTGTGTCTGGGCCAGGGGGCTGCCTCTGGGCCAGGCAAAGACAGCAGCAGGTGTTTCTACAGGAGTGGGTTTTTAAGGAGAAAAAAAGGAAGTCTATGCTAGGGTAAGTTGGTAAACCCTGATTGGACATGTTAGCCAGTGTAGCCAAATAATAAATTTTGATTGCTGGACTTTAGTGTTTGGGTAGCTGGACCTTGGAGTTTTAGTCAGGCATAAGGAAGTGGCCAATAAAGGACTAGACCTTGGTGACTAGCTTTAGGAACATATTCTAACAGTTTAACAAGGGACAGGAAAGGGGGCTTTGATGCCACATCTCTCCTCAAATTCCTAAAATGGCCTGGACTCAGAAACTTACTTTTTCTTTTATATACATTTTCTGTGAAGGAACTGTTCCTTCCCTCCCCTGGTGCTTTCTGGAATTTGCTGTATTTCACTGAAATTCTTAGGAAGGCACCACCACTGCTTCTACCACCACTAATACAACCAGACACTACTCAGGAATGGCAGGAGCCACCTCTGGGATGCCCGAGAGGAAGAAATGTGTTTGGAAAACCATGTCTTTTGTTGGCACTGGAGGAGGGCAGGTAGGAAAGGGCTCATTTGTTCATGTGTTCCTGTTGCCATAGGAGCTGAGCCTGCTCTGTCATCCTCCCCAGTTGAGCTCCCACATTTATGTAACCCAAACAAACCACACAATTCCATGGTGGATGGCACTCATTCTGAGTACTACCCCTTCCTGATCTGACACTTACTATTAGCCCCAGGACCCCACAGTCAATGGGAACTTGGGACCCAACCTTTAGTGACATCAATTCAGTTGGAAACCCTGGGTTTTCCTGTGGCTTTGGGGACTGACAGTGATGATGATCATGGTGGTGACGAAGAATAGAGCTGACTGTAACAGGGTGATGTGGACCAGGTCCTCTGATTAAACACTTAGCACTAACTACTACTCTGGCTTCTCAGGTCCTAATGGAACTGGTTTAGTTCTCTCTTGCTACCTTAAAAAAGTCACAAAAATGTAGTAACTTAAAGCAATGCATATTTATAATCCCATAGCTCGTGTGATTCGGGTATGGGAGGTATAACTTCAATGGCTCCTGTCCTCCAGGGTCACTTAGTCAGAGTGCTGCCTGAGAGCCTTCTCCAGAATCAGTTGTGAAAGGAATTGCTCCTCACTGTATGCTTGTGGACAGAGTGCACTTCTACATGGTTGATGAAATAAGGGCCCTTAGTGAAGGGTCTGTCAATGGCTGTTGACTAAGAAGGTGCTCTTTTTCTTTGCCAGGTGAGTCTTGCTAATATGGCAACCTCATCCTTCGAAAGTAATAATCTATTAGCAGGATGGACAATTCCCTTCTTTTTAACCTGATCACGGAAACAGTTATCATCTCTGCCTTATTCTTCTCTCTAGAATCAAATCACTAGGTCCAGCTCACACTCAGATGGAGAGAATGGCTTACATAGGAGATAAGAGTCCTCAGTGAGCATCAGAGGAACCTGAAAAGCGATTGCAGAAGGAGGAAGACAAAGGCTAGACTGCAAAGGCAGTTCCAAGCATAGAAGACGGAAGTAGTTTAGAATTAAAGGTAATATATGTAGGGGGTCAGTGGGTAGAAGGAGGAAGGGCCTGCTATTGTGTTTGAACTGCAGTGTCTTCCTGTCTCTCCTAGCCCTAACACAAAGGCGGGGCTAAGGAAATGGTGGATACAAGGCCAGGGGATATGAGCAGAAATATAATGACACTGCACAAATAAACACTTTCCCATTGGAAAAGCAAATGACAAGCGATGACAATGAAAGCACTAAAGCAAAAATGACTCAGAAGCCCTTGCGTGAAGAAGTTTTTTGGCATGGATGTGCCAATGTATCCAATAGGAAAGGTAGGAAGTGAGGCTAGAAGCAGATCTGGAATAAGACGTTTGCAACCATCGTCTGTCAAGATGAAGGAAACAGACCTCAGGCAGAGTGCATATAGTAGCTTGGAAATATTTCTAAGACAATGTTACACAGAGCAAAGAGAGAGTGAGGAACATTGTTTGGCAGCATCTACTAAGATAAATTTTAGTTGACATATCTTAGAGCGAAGGTTTCAGACCTTTCTGAGCCTATAATCTGCTAGAGGTGGGTGTGAAGCTGTGTGGGAGACAGAGAGTGGGCATGTAATAGGAGGCATTTCTGACTGGTATATGTGGTAGCTACAACAGGCTGCAACCTTGTGGGGAATGCTCTTAGGTCCAATGCCTGTGGATCTTTGTGGAGGGTAGGAAGAGACTTGGGTGAAACATTTATAATGAAGCAGGAATGGTAGCCTGAGCTAAAGTAATATAGAATAAATACCCAGTAAGTACCCATTAGCCAGAGGTGATGATGAGATGGCAACATCAGCACCCTGACAATGGGAAGGATTCCAAAGCCGAATTCAAACAGCAGTTATTACACCATCCTCTTTTACAGACATTGCCAAGTGCCCCCATATAGTCCCTTCTCCACTATGTGCCTTCTCCCAGAATTCTCTCCTATCAGCAGAACGGTCACTCTCTGGCTTGCTCAGGGGTGGGGAAGGGGAGTTACCAGTACCAGATTATTGGGGCAATGAAGGTGAGAAGTCACTTAGGCAGACAAGACAAAGACACCAAGAGTCTCAGAGAAATGTCTTCTTAGTATAGAAAGAGAAAATGAAATCAGGAAAGGATTTCTTGCCAAACAACAAAAGCAAAACTTTATGGAAAGCTGTAAAGTTCTGTAGCTTTTAGTGGAGAATCCCCTACAGTGAGAGGTGAGAGACCAGTACCTTCATTATCAAAAAAAAAAAAAAAAAAAAAAAAGGTTTAGGGCCTCTCATCTAGCACATGGGAGCAGCTGAGGTCCTACCCACTCACCGGGAACACACTGGCTACATGCAACCTTCCCTTCCTGGAGGACACAATGTTATGTTTCTAGGTTCCCCCTGGAGGATATTACAGTAAAAAAAAAAAAAAAAAAAAAAAAAAAAAAAAAAAAAAAAAAAGGTTTAGGGCCTCTCATCTAGCACATGGGAGCAGCTGAGGTCCTACCCACTCACCGGGAACACACTGGCTACATGCAACCTTCCCTTCCTGGAGGACACAATGTTATGTTTCTAGGTTCCCCCTGGAGGATATTACAGTAACTTTCAGTGGTTAATGAATAGCTTCCCCGGGCCTGCTTCACTTAATTGTTCAAAGGCCATTTGTTCGTGTGTATAAGGCTGCAACCTGGCTAATGAGTGCATTTCCCTGAGCGGGCCTGGAAACAGAGGAGTGGCAGGGTCAGACGGGCTCCAGACAAGCAGGGATGCAGAACAGGACTGGTCTAATTTTCTGTGCCCTCTCCCTCCTCACTGGCTTCCTGATGATCTGCTTGGGGGGCTTCTTCATCTCCAACTCCATTTTTCACTCTCAGAGGAACCTGGTCATAGCCTACGTGCTTCTGCCTATGGGGTTTGTGATCCTTCTGAGTGGAATTTTCTGGGCCACTTACCGACAAGCAAATGAAAACAAAGAGATGTTCAACCATGTGCTCAGACAGCACCTTGCTTCTCAGGACCTGCTCCTGACCACAATAGACAGGTATGTGCTGAGTGCCAGAGGACATGAGAAGGGCTGAGATGAGCCACAGTGTGGGAAGTGGAGAGATGTAAAATTCCACAGCAGATCCACTTACATGAGACTTTGCATCTAGGCCCGAAGTTCACTGGGCAATTTGCTCTGGGGTCATAGTGTGGAAGAGCAAGGCTGTTATTGGGGGAAACAATGAGGCAAGAGGGAACTTTCTTAGGCTAAGATCCTTATATCCCTAGCAAAAACTCACATACAGCAAATTAAGGGGCACAACTCCTAGGTTCTTCTTCTGTATTGGGGATGATTTTAGTAAATGATAGGCGATGGCTAGGTGGTTTCTATGACATGGTTAATGAGTTGTAAAGAAAGACCCAGACTAAATTCTGCCCACATTAAATGAGCAAGCGGACCCTGAGTCAGTCAGCAACTTCTGTGACTAAGGGAAGTTCTAGATAACTGTCCTTTTAGGTGTTCTGATCTCACCTTGTAAGAAGCATACATTCAAGGCAAAAAGATAACATGCCCATCAATGATGGAGAAAACAAATGGCAGTATGTACACATACACATTGCAATATTATTTGGCCTTAAGAGAGAACAAAATAATTGATACATGCTATAGGTGGCTACACACTGAAAACATTATGTCAAGTGATACCCACCAGTCAGAAAGGGTACCATTCTACTTACACCAAGTAGCTTCCACAGACAAGAAACAGAACAGTGGTTCCCAGGCCTCGAGCATGGTGTGTGTGATGGGGGTGGGGATGAAGAGTTATTATTTAATGAATATGGGATTGGAGCTTGGAGTGATATAAAAGTTCAAGAGATGGTTTGCAGCAATATAGGATCACTAAATACCACTAATGCCCTTATAAGTAATATAAGTTTATATTATAATAATATATTACCAAAACAAAAAGCCAAGGATTCGGGTAACCTTGTAGTCAGTTAATTTAGCTTCAATCTTCTGATTCCTAACACAAGAATATTGTTCTTAAGGTATAGGATGTAAGAATCCATAAGTCCTTCTGGGATATTCATGCAAGAGCAGGTAATCCATAAAATGTCTTAGCTATCCCATGCACATTGAATCAGAGTACTCTCACCTGTGACTATGCATTGCTGACATCAATCATACAAGTGACAACAACCACAGACCATTTCCAAGGTTGATTAGACTAACCAGGAAGCAGTTCTTTGGGTTTGACCAAAAATTAAGATAGCAGGAGTGATTTAGAAGGTGCTTCTAGAGCAATTGTATGTGTGTGGGGGGTGTGTGTGTGTGTCTGTGTGTGTGTGTGTGTATGTTTTGTGTGTTTGTGTTCATGTGTGTGTATCTACCTCTACAGTGTGAACTCCTGTAAGAGTAACGAGTGCCTTTAGAAGGCATCTAAAATTTACCGACACATTCATATATATTCCCTTGTCTGGAGTATTCAAAAGTAAATAATGACTATCTTGACACCTCTCTCTCTCACTGCCCCTTCCTGCTGCATCCTGAGATGGTCATCCTACAGAGCCAAACTGGGAAAATTCTGCATCTCAAAAGCTTTGCACTCAACATGAGTAACAGAGCAGAGATATCCAAGCGAATGTTCCTCTGGGGATGGTGTTCATGGCAGTAGTCTTCTTGGAGTCTGTCAAATGGTTCCATGGAAGAGCTCACCTTTCTATCCCCATGACTCGGCCTTAGCTATCCCTGGGAAAGGTCAAGCCTTACATCGTACAGTAGACAGCTCCTTCAGCTATTTGGCCCCAGGCCTTGTGACATTTGGAGTGGAGCAGTGGCTACAAATGGCAGACCCTGTTCTGTTGTGGTTACTCACCATAAACACTCCCTTTGGCCCTGGATAGATTGCCTCTATAAATACTCAACTCATGCAAACTCACTCTGGCTCTCTTCCACTCACCCCACCCCCACCTTCATTCATGGTGGAGGAGCCAGAGGCATTTAGTAATTACTTAGATGGTTAAGATGATGAACAAGTCCATCAGCTGGGCTGACTGACCTTAACCAGGGGCAGGTCAGCAACTACGCTGCAGTTGAATGCCTCACAAAGCTACCAGCCAATGCCTTTTGAGACCTAAGCGTGTTTCCTATGTTTTCTCTGAAACCAGCTGCCCAGGACTTGACAATGTGTCAGGAGAGAGTAGTGGTGTCCCCCAGGTCAGGGACCTGCATGTAATAGTTTTCCATTATTTTGTTGCTTGTGAAGGTCTGAGGCCTCGGGAGCAATGGAGTGGAAGATGGTGTGTGTGAGTGGTAACAAGGATTGTGTACTGGCTAAAGAGAGGTTCATGGTCAAAGTCTGTGTCACCTAGGGCTGACAAGGAGAGTGCACTGAATGTTTCTTGGGCTGAAAGAGCAAACAAGGAATAGCTTGGAATACCTGTCTGGAACAGGCGGGCTGCCATGACTGGATTCTACAGGAAGGGTGTGCAGTTTTTAGAAACTGGTGATGTCAGAAAAGTACATCTGTTTGAAACTCAGTGTTTCTTAGCAGTTTAGCTTCACACAATGTGAGATGAGAGAGGTAGACATATGCTTCTTCACCACCAAGACGTAAATAACGTGTGCATATTTGTGGCATTTCGTCTCACAGGCCCAACTTTTACCCCCCGGCTTATGAAGAAAGCCTGGATGCTGAGAAACAGACCTGCCCTGCAGGCGGGGGGTTCCTGGAATTTCCTCCTCCTCCATACACAGCGACAAGCCTTGAACTTGAAGATGAAAATGAGCCACAACCAGAGGCCCCACCGTCCTACCAGGAGAGCACCGCAGGCACGGTGGTTACAGTGAAGGCACAGGATGCTGTGGGGCCAAGCACAGTGCTGAAGGCAGGGCCTGCTCTCCAGCACTCAGGACTCCCCAGCTGCTGAGGAGACAGGCGGGCCAGGGACTGTGAAGCTGCTGTGTCACCCTGCACTGGAGCAAGGCCATCATTGGTTCAAGAGACTAGGGTTTCCAGGGCAGCTTGGGGTCCTTGAAGGACACAGCCATCAGCAGGAAGTTGGTGTAGAGAATTCTCACAAAACCCAACCCAGGCGAACCTTAGGCGGAAGAGAAGGCATATGGACAGGCCTTCCACCTCCCTCCTAACCCCATGACCTCAAGTCAAGCCTGGAGGTGCACTTGCTGTTGGTGGGGACTGCCACAGCCCTTCACATACTGTGTCCAAAGAATCTCAAAGGGAAGACTGTTTGAGAAGCAGCCTTAGAGTCACCCCACTGACCATGCTACCTGAGTGATGCCATAGCTCGGACACATCATGGGAGGGGGCACTAGGAACCAAGGAACGATATTTTGTATCGTTTTATTTTAATTATGTATGTGTTTGTTTTCTGTGAGAAAGGGAAGAGACTGCAATATTTGCCTTTAAATGGTTCAAACACAAAATGTTGAGTGACCTCTTAAAAAGGTTCTCAGAAAGGCACATAGGAGTTTTTTCCAGATTAAAGTTGAGTAGACACAATACTAAATTCATGATCCAGGTAAACAAGGGTGATGCTAACACACAACTTCTTACAAATCTTGTGAAGTTTAAAAATATATGCAGTTTCCCAAGATGCTCCCCCTTCAAATTCAGAACATAAGAGATTAAAAACTGTAAGGTCATGTTTCCATCACCAGGATGTGTGTGTGTGTGTGTGTGTGTGTGTGTGTGTGTGTGTGTGTGTGTGTGTGTGTGTGTATCTCAGTACAGAGAACTAAACTCCTGGACTTTAAAACCCCAATGGTCCCTCCTTGGTTTTTTATTCTTTGTGGGAGTTTTAAAATCAGAGAACAGGTTAGGGAGAAGGATGGTGGTGGGATACATAGGCTGAGACTTTTGAATGTGGATGAGGGTATGCATATCCTGGCCTCAAGTTCTTTCTCTACCAAGTGAAGCATCAGTGTTCAGGTTGATATCTAAGTTATGGCATGCCTCACACGTGGTGGGTGAACCAGCCCTCCCATGCATGTTATTAGGCCCCCATCCCATCTTTGAGAGGTGGGTGCTGTGACCATTCTTGTTTTATGGACATGTCAACTGAGGCTTCAATAATTTGGGAAATGTGTTCAGTGAAACAATGGCCTCACGGAAGGTGAAGAACCTAAAGGTACGTGAGGAGAGTTACTTACCTCACACTTTTGAGTTAGGCTGGTTATGTATTTCCTCTTTCTAGGACACAACTTAGATTTCTCACTCCATGTCAAAAATGACCCCCAACAGAAAGCAATGTTCCCAGTCACTACTATATTGTACACCCTTGAAGAAGCAGCTGAGGTGACTTTTGGATTACTGGGCCAGCCTGTTTCCTGTCTGGGAAATGGCCCTGATAGTGCAGTTTTCCTGTATCCTACAGAGGAAAGCCAGAAGAGCCTTTGACTCAAGGGAAGGATAACATCTTTCAGGAAGAGAGTCATCAAGGTGGGACTGATTATCCATTGTCTCTACTTCTCCATTGGTGTGGAGACTGTGCACAGACTGTGAGTGTCCTGATAGACACAAAAGATGCCAAATGAACAAAACCCTAGTCCATGAAGCACACCTTTATGAATCTCTGCTTTGAGTCCTTGACAATGAGCAAATGACTAGAGAGGATGGCCACTGATGGCTGTTTAGCAGGAAGGTGGCTATTTATTAACAATGCAATTCATCAGTCCTTTCTTGTCATCTCTTTCCATCATCCCCCTCCCAGGCAATTTTCCTCACTGGTCTGAATGACCAGCATTATTGGACTTCTACCTAGATTTGCACACAGAATAGATGGTTTTCCTACCACTCAGATGAACCAACCATTCAATTTTGTTTGCATATATTGTGTTAGTCTCCTTAAGACAATAAATTTTGCATTCAGAGTCTTTTTGGAATTTATTTTGTGTGTGTGTGTGCTGTACGTGTCTGTGTTTTACAAGTGCATGTGTGTACACATACATCGGGTAGTTGGGGGTTGTTGTCTCAGGTTGTGCCAGGGGTTGGCTGGCAATTGAATTTCCAGGAATCTTTCTGGGTTCCTGGCATGAGTGAGGATTGAAGCTAGTTCCTCATTCTTTCACAGAAAGCATGCTAACCTTAGTCACCTCTTTTTTACCACAGACTTTCCTTCCTTCCTTCTTGCCTTTTTTGTCACTTTTTTGTATCAGAAAAAAAAGCAGTAGAGGATCCTAAGTCATGGTAGCATTCTCCACAGTATCAAGATGAGTTTATATTCCTGCAAACCCAAACATGACTGACACCAGCTGTTGCTTCAGAAAGCAACCTGGTGCCTCCTTTTAAAAAAGAATACTAAAGTTGGGCACGGTGGCACATACTTGTAACCCAAGCACTTGTGAGATAGAAACTGGAGAATCAGGAGTTCAAAGTCAGCCTTGGAAGAAAGGAAAGGAGGGAGGAATGGAGGAAGGGAGAAAGGGAGAGAGGGAGGGAGGGAAGGAAGGAGAAGGAGAAGAAGAGAAGGAAGGAAAGCAAAAAGAAAAAAATAAAAAGTAAATCAACACTAAAACATACTTCTTGACATGTTTCTAAGACACATGTACTCTGATTCAGGAGTCTAGAACCTGGATATCATGCAAAGCAATCTTTCATCTTTGTGTATTAGCAACTAAAAACCACTGGGTAAGTCAACAAATGTGTCCCTCTGTAGTAAATGATACACTATTATCCCCTACAGGGTGCACTCTGGGAAAGTAGCACTGGCATCTTCCTTCTATCTCAGGTGTGTGATCAACTGAAATGATGCTGGGTTAGGAGCCGTGGTCCTATGGCTACTGAGGAGGGCATTTGGACTATGAGACAATGGAGAGAGGAAAGTCTCCATGGCAGAGGATCCTTACTCATCCGTCCTCATCCCCAGTGTGAATTATAGTGGCCCCAGGCACCTTAGTTTATAGCTTCATGTTGTTCCTTTGATCAACAAGTTTAAATAATTACTGCCAGCACCTAGAAGATCACTATGACAAGGTCAGTATACAGTACACGATGCTGGGCCTTTGCATATCGGAGATGTACTGGCTCTGTCTTGACCCCTCCATGCAAAAACTCACAGGTGTTTTTTTTTACTGACACCATCTGCTTGTCTTTCAAGATTTTGCCTCAGTATATTATTTTTCTTTGAAACATCATTCAAGCTCATCTCCATGGCACGGCACGTGCTAGGTGCTGATAGAAATGGAAAGAGGAGAGAATCCTGGATTTGTTATTCCACTTTGTTCTCTAAAGTTCCATGACAACCCCGCTGACTCACACAATAGTGAGCTGTCAATTGCAAGGGCTATTTCTGCTGGGAAAGCCTCCAGCTGGTTGAAGTTGAGCAGGCTTTCTGCTAAGCTCTGCTGCCTCAGATAATCTCGTGCTGTCTGGAACTGTTGATGACCCAAACACTGATTTATTACCATGGGCATAGAGTCATCTTACTGTCATTACCAGGACCCACAAAAGCTTTCTCATCCTCTACATCAACCATAGCTCATGGATCTGGCTACCAAAAACTCAAGTCATACTATCATTCTTGCCATGATTTAGTGTGGTCAAATCTAGTACAGGGATGGTTGTCAATCTAAGACTTATGTGAAAGCATTCATGGCTTGCAGATCTGATGGCTGCATTCTGCAATTTGGAACAGTGAGATCTGATAAATGTTCTCTCTTTAAACAGGGCTACCCTTCTCTCTGTGTATGTACATGCATGTGTGTGCACATACATGTGGAGGCCAGAGGTCAATGTCAGGTGCTCTCCACCTTTGTTTTTGAGACAATTTACCACCTAAGCCATCTTCCTATTTCCCTCCCATTTTTTAAAAAGGGCAATGAGGAAGTTCAAGAATCGTGGGTGCCAGAGGTCAATGTCAGGTGCTCTCCACCTTTGTTTTTGAGACAATTTACTACCTATTGTCTCAAATAGGAAGATGGCCTAAGCTATCTTCCTATTTCCCTCTCATTTTTTTTAAAAGGGCAATGAGGAAGTTCAAGAATCCTGGGTAAAACAAAGCAATGTTTTGTTTTGGGGAAATGGCTGATACCTGGCAGGTCGGATATATAACACCCAGGTTCCCCCTATAAATGTCTCACTGGCACATATGCTCACATGTTTTCAAATCCCCTCGATAAATGGGACACTGCTTCATTTAAGAAGCACTACGTATATGTGATGGCTCTCCCCTTTTCCAGGGGCATATGTTGCAGTGAGGGAACCCTGAGTGCTAGAAGATCACCAGACTGGACCTAATAGTTACCTCACTGTAAAGTTGCTTCTTCTGCGATTCACTATACTGGTTCCCACAAAATTCTTGTGTGTCTCATGTCACTTACTCTTAATTAAAAAAAAAATTATCTGTGTGGAGGGAGGGGTACACATGCCTGGACACATAAGAAGGTCAGAGGACAACTGTGTGGAGTCAAGTCTCTCTCCCTTCCTTTCTATGGATACTGGGGATTGAGCTCAAGTCATTCAGTAGGCTTGTTCAGTAAGCACCATTACCTACCTGCCAACCACCTCACTGACCCCAGGTCATTTGCTCTTAAAGGCTGGTTGTTGACCCTGCATTTTTAACAATAAGAGGAACATCATATAGGTAAGTGTGGCTTGCTGGCTTTCATGCCTCTTCAGAGTAATACAAGCATTCATCCATGCAATCTTGGGTTAAGGCAGAAGTAATACAGTGTAAATAATGAGCAGTGTAAACTTGAGAGAACTCAGTGACAGGCCTGGTCCTAGAATTGCTGAGAGACCTGCTCTTTGTTAACCCAGCTGAGAGAAAATGATGCTACGAAGATCATTTCCACTTGGTGTTATATCCTATGTCTGTCTGAATGCGACCCATCACACCACCTCTGGCTCCCGAGGTCAGCTTCGTGTAAATCCCAGCTAACTGTCTCGTGTCATTCTGTCTCGCTGCTTCCATTCACCTCTGGTAAACTACACAAGCACCATTGGATCCCAAGACACCGTATTCTTTAGGAAGAACCTCCTGCTGCCAGTGTCCCACCATTTTGGAGCCAATGACTCTTGTTCCCATAGCTCATGCTGGCACTTCTATTGTAATATTTATGCCTCCCAGTTACTTGTGTTTGTCACCACCAACTCCTTCCAAATTCTAAGTTCAGAAGAGCAGGTACAACTCCATCCACCTTCCTGTTAAATTTAAAAGAGGAATGTGCCTGGAGTAGCTGCTCAACCAGTCTTTGCTGAATGGATGAATGAATAAATGAGTGAATTAATTGATGGGTGACTATAAATTGGGCTACAACACATGCATAAAAAAGGGAAACAGGCGGGGTGGGGGTGACTATAAATTGGGCTACAACACATGCATAAAAAAGGGAAACAGGCCGGGTGGTGGTGGCGCATGCCTTTAATCACAGCACTCAGGAGGCAGAGGCAGGCAGATCTCTGTGAGTTCGAGACCAGCCTGGTCTACAAGAGTTAGTTCCAGGACAGCCTCCAAAGCCACAGAGAAACCCTGTCTCAAAAAAAAAAAAGGGGGGGGGGAACAGAATGTTGAAGTAGAATAACTTGAACTTAAAAGTTAGAGATGATTTAAGTTCAGGAACTTGAGGCAAAAATATTTGCTTGCCCAGCTTGAGCTGATATGTCAAAGGACGTGTTAGAAGGCGCTGATAGCAGGTCAACAGCAAATGGATAGACGGATGTTATCAGGGACCTTTACTCCAGAGATAGTAAGAACGAAAGCTACAAGGCAAAAATGTTCCATTCATGATATGTTTTTTATAATTTTTTAAAAATATAAACTCAGCTCAAAGCCACCTTCCTATTATCCTGAAATAAAGACTCTTATGGTGAAAGACTAGATCCCATTTTAACTTTTGCTGATTCCCAAAACCAATTTTGAGCAATTCATTTTTCTTCTGTCCTATTTTTAACATCCAACCCCCTAAGTCATTAGAACAAATTGCAGTCCTCCCCAGTGTTCTGTACAGGTGACCAAACTGGAACTGTAAGTGGCAAGAGGCAGAAATGAGCAGAAGGCCACAATCTTGTATGGAGGTTAAAATAAGGAAGTTTTGTTTTATTGGCTACTAAATGTCCTAGCAAGTTTCTGACAGAAGCACAGAGAGAAAATGGAAACAAACACCTTTCTGGGAATGTTTCCTTGCAGCACTGACCTTGATGGCAGTAGTCAGTCACGCCTTGCTCAACAGCCAAAGGGCACTAGGTCATCTCCACGAATGACATGATAAGTGAACCTGCAGTTCCCAAGGAAGCCAAACATAAGCAAACACATCCCGTGCCTGCCTGAGGACGCTGCCGGAGTCCACGTGCCTGCTGGAGCTGCCAGGTCCCTGTTGTGACAATCCACCTCTCTGTCTCATAAGGCCCACTAATTATTTCAGCCCCTTCTCCTTTATCCAGCCACTGTGAACAGAATCCGGATACACAGTGGGATTCTTCCTGGGAGGAGTTACTCAAACACATGCATTGGCTCTTGCGACATCAAGAAAGTGTCACCCTCATTTTCAACATTAATTTTCAGTCTTTTCCAGAAAATCCTTCCCCACCTGCACAGAAAATGGCTACATTCAGAAGGATGCAATCAGCTTGGTAGCTAAATCAATACTATATGCAAATAAGAGAGGAAAACACCCTTTTATCTGTCTTGTTGGAGGTGTGCCATTGTGATTTACAGAAAACTCTAGAAGACGTGAGAGAGGCAGCGCAGAGATAGTGGCAGGCTGGGGAAAATGGACCATTGGATGGCTGGTGGGAGAGGGGTGCATCCTGAAAGTTCTAAAACTTTCACCTTGTTGATCTGATTAGGAGAGCAAAGTGGAGTCTCCTCCATGCTAATGAGATCTTCAGCCTGCCCAAAGCCTTAGAACTTACCAGTCACTCTCTCTCTCTCTCTCTCTCTCTCTCTCTCTCTCTCTCTCTCTCTCTCTCTCTCCCTTCCTCCCTTCCTCCCTTCCTCCCTCGCTCCCTTTCTCTCTCTGGCCAGAAACCCACAGGGGGCTGTGATTAATAGTTTCTTAGCGCGCCTGTCTATCTCCATAGGGGAAGATCATTGGTGTGATGAAATACAGATATCAAACAACAGTGAAGCTCTGACAGACAACTAAAGACCTTGCTGCATATGAAGGAACTGAACAAATCAAAACAAAAGGGGTGCTTATCCCCTTCCCATCTTCATTTCATTTTACCCCCACCCCCTTCCAACAGTAAAATAGCTTTTGTTTTTCCAAAGTCCTAAGAGGCACAAATGGGAAGCAAGAAGGCACGGTGGTGAAGTGTCTCTCTGCGTGCTCCTCTGCCCTGTGCTCAGGTGATGACAGTGGGTCCCCTCCGGCCAGTTCTCTCATGAATCTGGGATATTTTCAGCGCAATGGCTATGAGAGGGCTCAGCACCGCCTGGAAAAGAAAGGACGACCATCAACTTGAAATCAACTCCAGTATGGGCTTGGGGATGGATTTCTACCTCAGAGGCATGGACTCAGATTGCCTTTTACAGCCTCCAGGCAGTGACTGGAATGGACAGGACACAGACGTGGGACACAAAACTGCTCTGTGAGGTTTTCACTCAACCACAGAGAAGTTATTCGTGATAGGGACAAGCATAAACCTACTGCTAAACAAGACTGTGAATTCAGGAAGGCTGGAAACTTCCATTCTTCTTCTGATCCACTAATCCCTTCCAAGTTATAGCCTCAACCAAACACCTCCCCACATTCAGTGTGAGGACAAAGCTTGCTCCTCATCCTGAAAACACAGGTCCAAAGAAACCATCATTCTGGCACTTCAGGGAAGATGGCCACACTAATGCTACAGGACCTGTCTTCCTACCCTATACCATACAGGCTACCTAGCTTCTTCAGTATTCCCAGGAGGTGGAGCTGGCTTAGAGAGCTTTAGAACCCAGTTCAGCAAAGGACTAAGGATCACATCTTCCCTTTAATTGCTTGTCCTGTTTCTGAGGAGTGGAGCACATACTCCTAACACACTCATAAGACATAAATGATAAAACACTGAGGAAGCTGATCTGTCAGCACTCTTCAATCCAGATACTGCCACAAACAAGAAACCCTGTTTACTGCTGACCTTCAGCACTCTAGAGTAAACAATTCTTGGCCAAGAATTATTTCACCTGAAGACATTCTTGTGTATATTTTACTAAATTTCTGTGTATGCACCACTCATATTTATCAAGCAATATTGCCTTTCAATGTGGAGTACTGAGTAAACTTATATATAAGTATAAAATAAGTATAAAATCAGTCTACTTAAAGACAGAATCCAAAACAAAGGTACTGATAGAGAAGTACTGGACAACAGTGAAGTAAAGGAATAAAGAGCCCATAATTCTGGAAATGAAGCCTTGTAGAGGGAGGCAGCATTCTGTTCCTGGCAAGTTAACCTGTTCCTAGCAGATAAAAGCCTGAAGGCTGCTCAAGAATTGCAGTCAGAAGAACATGCATAGGGCACAGATAGCTCAAGTCTTCTAGTATGTCTTGAGTATAGAGAGAATCTTAGACGATATGAAAGCCAGTCTGATGTGGGGGGACCCAAATGCTAGGGTAGGGTGAACATATTTAATTTACTATGCAATGGAAGATGCTACCCTCCTTGGAACCAAAGGCTGTCATAATCAGAGCAGTGGAAGTATTAATCTAAGGACATGTTTGCTAAAGTATTTCTTTGGGGACTATTTCATATCATTAAATTGTGCAACCTCAATAATGAGCCACAAAATAATTTCACTTCATTCAGATAATACAATTACCCAAATAAACAGTAAGATGTTAGTACATACATAGAGGGTTTTTTCTAAAAAACAAAATTTAGTATTTTAGAGACAATAGAGAATGATGATTGGTTTTTCTGTTGAATTGGATATGCATGAGATTTTGTAAAATATTGGTGAGAAATCAAAAACTGTAAAAGAATTCTTCAACTTGTTTCACAATCACACTTAGGTTCCTATGGCACTAAGTAAGTAAGAATAAAAGTTGGACATTATACAGGATGAAACAGAACCACAATCCTAAAGAGTGTAATTATATTCAAAGAAAAATGTCCTGACCTAAAATGAAATGATTGGGAAATGAGCAATAGATCTACCTGTGTGGTTGGAAAGACACAGTGATCAAGCTATGTATGCATCTGGTAACTTCTCCAAGTCTTTGTTTCAAAGAATCAAACATGTCTCTTGGTCTGGTCACATCAGGCATGAGGTCACCCTTGGCAATTAGGGCCAGCTCACAGAAGTCAGAGCAGGGTGTGTGCCCCCTTATCCTTCATATAGTAACTGGGCAGCCCTTGCTCTAAGTTCTTGGAATCATGGTTCTGATTTTTTTCTTTTCTAGTTATTTGGGAATATATGCATAAATAATGAAAAAGCTTGGGGTGGAAGCCAAGTCTAAAGACAAAATTCATTTTTGTTTCTCATATATGCTTTTTTTTACACATAACTCCAGGTAAATTTATACAATATTCTTAATACAACTTCATTTTGACTATGGCAAATTTGTCAAGGTCTAGAATTTTCCACTTCTAACACATCAAACAGTGTCAAAATTGGGAGCACTTTAGGCCTTTGGATTTGGGGTTCAGTGTGTTACACCTAGTCCATGCTCTCCACTGGTGTGGCTAGAACACTTATTTTTGAACCTTTTTCTTCCTTTCCAGCCCACTGGCAGTCATCAAACCCTCTGTCCTTATTTGCACAGTAGCTCCTCACCCATAGTTTCCTCCTCCCAGGTTTGTTAGCATCCATGGCTCATAGGAGACAGTCGGCTGCTCCCAACCTTGTCACACCAAGCTTCTTTCTTTCTGCAAGTGATCATCTGATGTACAAGTCTCAGGTAGCTTCTCAAGCTCTGTCATCAGCCATTCTCAGAATGGCTGCTGGGTTCCTGGTGTGCTGTCAATCCTTAGCACCTCCTCCCACTCCATGCCATAGAATCTATCTTTATTTTAATGTACCTAAAATCAATCAACATAGACAAGGAAAAGGCCTACAGATAAATCAGAATTCAGAGCTCAACTCGGAGAAAATTTATCTTCTCCAAATAACAAAACAGGCCTCCATAAAAATTCTTCTGAGGGAAAAATCCCTCTCCAGATTGAAGTAGAGGAAGTCCTCCCAAAGAGATTCACCGAAGCAAGACCAAGCCAGTCTCTGGGAGTTCAATGTGCCACCCACAAAAGCCACACATGCAGGTGGGATCAGCTTCCTTCTCTATCATCCTACCCACTTTTGCCATTGATTTGGGCCGTTAGGTAAGCCGTGGCATTTATATTACAACCTAACAGTCATGATAATCATGAAGACAACTGTCCTATTTATTCAAACGTGGGCTCCATTTGGTTCCACTTGGAGAACAGGGGGTGGAGAGTAAGTGAGTAGGCTGGCCAGCTCTGTGGGTTCCACTCGTGGCTGGCATACACTGGGTTTCTGACCCTGGGATCCTGCTGTGTAGATACAAACTAGCCTGCAAAATTTCCCATCTTAAGCCTATAGAAGTAGTCCCTTGCTCACAACGTCCCTTTCCTCTCTTCTCTGCCTGTACCCTCCTCATCGTCCACGAAGCTATAGCATTGCAAAGGGATGGGGAATTACCAGCTGGTTTAGATCCCTGTATTCCCTCCCAAAGAGCTCCACTACATCCTCATGTTTCTATTCACTGAACATGTCCACAACACCCTTCAAAATTTTCCTTTGTGCAGAATATACTTGCTAGTTTAATGGAAAACAATCTCCTACCTCACACTAAAATTCTTAGCAGAAATCGATCTAAAGGACTAAAACCAGAACTTTAAACAAAAGACTGTCATCTATAGAGTTTGTTACTCCAAGCCTTCTCTTTCTCCTCCCCAAGGCTGCAGAAGCTGAGATAAAGGTTACTCTGTCATTTATTGCAACCTGAGTTCATGTGGTTGCAACATTGGCATGCTTCAGTTTGGTGCTCTGCTTATAGATGTTCCTTAGAAATGAAGTTGAGCCCCCCACAGGTCTGCTAGCAGCCTGCTACCTAAGGAACAGCCAAGAACCATCAAACAATACTGCTGTGGGTTCTAGTCAGAGACAGAGTATTTGTGTTCCTACTAAGCCTGTAATATGTAGTTCTGACAAACTTCCAAAATGACCCTGGTATGTGCCCAGGTCTGGGACCCTGCTTTGCAGCAGTGTGCTCTTTATCCTAGGATGGGCAGAACAGGTCAGTGGTGAAATGACTCTGCAGCCTTGATCAACCTCCTGGATCAACTGGCTCTACCCTTTATGAGCTGTGTGATCTGGATAAGTCATTTAACCCCATTGGACATCAATTTTCATTTCATGGGCTAATAGCACCCTCCTCACAGAGGTGAGAGGCTAAGCAAGCTGGTAAGTAGGAAACAGGACAGTCCCAAGCATGTAGGGCAGATACATAAGTGATTGTTATTGTTAAAAACTAGGAATGGGACTGTAGCATGCAAGCTGGCTGTCATATGGCTGCTTAGTATACTCTGTGATCTTTTATTAGAAAATCAACTCATACTCTCTCAAATGTCAAATGAATGCCTCTGGTATGCACCCTGGTTCAAAGCAGCTACTTTGTTTGGTCAGGTCTTAATGCCCTTTTTTGCTCTGGTGAGTTATCAGCCTGCCTTCTGGATCTCTGACCCCAGGGACTGCCAAGAGAACCATGCCCTGAATTCACCATGGCTCGAGTTGGCCTTTGCAGTGATATGGTGGGTGTGTCAGTAGTTTGGCATGTACACACACTGTGCTATTCCTGAATGCAGCTGCATAGTAAACACGTCCTTGAAAGCTCCCTGGCTGGAATTTAGGGCCACACAACCCAGGCAATGGTTTAGATATGGTTTGGGTTTGCCCCGAGGAATTGTGTATTAAAAGCCTATCCTTGGGTGGTGATGTTGGGAGATGGTGGGCCCCTCTAAAACTGTGAGCCAAAATAAAGCATGTCTCCTTATAAGAAAATTATCCGGGAAATTTCATCATAATGATGCAAAGTTGACTAATACACTACATAAAGGGTACAGACAGAGTAGTTTACACAGCTACAAAATCATTGGCACTTCTCACACCAAATGGTGGGTTTAGAGCTGGAGAGATGGCTTAGCAGTTAAGGGTCCTTGCTGCTCTTGCAGAGGACATGAGTTTGGCTCCCAGCGCCCATATGGTGGTTTACATCCATCCATAACTCCAGTGCCAGGGATTTAATGGTGTCTTCTGACCTCCACAGGCACCAAGCATTCAAGTGCTGCACATCTGTATATACAGAAAAAAAAAATGGTACACATAAAACAAAAACTAAAGAGGCAAGGTTTCTTTGCCCAGCCTTGACATTTAACAAGCTTTTGCATTCCAGACATAGAGTTCAGAAATGATGTTATGTGACTTCTCAGAC